AACATAACACTCCAAATTGAGCACACGACTCCTTTAAGCAAATGCTGAAAAAAAACAATTTTTTATTCTCTTGTACTCACCCTTTGCAGGAGAATTCAACGATCCAAATTCATAAGCACGGAGGGGAAAAGGGGGGGGGACTAAAAGATTAAAAGGGGGGAGGAAGGAACAAGGAAATAGGGGAGGGGTGGATAACACGAAAAAGGAGGTAGACAACGGGGAGACTTAAAAAGCAGGGCAGGAATGTGATAAGAAGACGGGAAGGGGCGATCCACGCTGCTAGGGACTGAAATACAGACGCCCGAGGTAGTCAAGCGGCTTCTGCTCTATCCCATCACTTTGCTGTAGCCTCTGCCAAGCAAGGAGGCTGGCTGGGAGGGAAGTTGGTACTGCAGCTGGAAAGAAGGATGTGACACCGTAACAAGTACAACCAGCTAGCCAGGAGGGCGAGAGGCGGAGGAGGAGGAGGAGGAGGAGGAGGAGGAGGAGGAAGAAGAGGAGAGACCTGGAGGAGCCGAAGCAGCCCGTGCCCTGGGAGGGCGGAGGCAACAGAAGCAGGAGGAGTCCGTGCTCGGGGAGTAGAAGCGACGGCGGCGGCAGCACTAACACCGCATGTCCGCCTGCACAAGGCATTTAATGGGATTGATGGGTTGTGCAGTCAGTGACTCACAGACTTTTGAGTTAGACACAGGAGGAGGTGGAGGGGGAACCCCGCCCACCGCTCTCCAGGGGCCCTATGTCAAAGCCAGCTGGCACGGAGTGACAGCCCTACCCACCAATGCCTAGGCCGCTCTTTGCCCAGAGGCCGGGGGGTCCTGCCCCTTTTCGCTCAATGAGTCTTCTGAGGACACTGCTGCGGAACGGGGGGGGGGGTGAAAAGGAAAAGAGGGTGGGAGAAGCTGGCCAGGGAAAGCAGCCGGGGAGGGATTCTCCCCCTTTTCTCTCCCTGGTTTGCCCAAAGTGGCCAATCGCACGTAGCATTCGTTTGATAGACAAGATAAGGCTGCCCAATCAGAGGGAAAGGAGAGGCGAGGGCTGCCTCTATGTTTATCGGGGAGGGTGCGTGTCTCCCCCCCCTCCCCGCGTCCCTCTGTGCCGATCCGGCCCCCTCGGGCTGGCGTGGGAGCCCCTGGGTAGAGGCGAGGGGACGGGGTACGAAGCGAGAACTGCGCTATGGTTCCCGTCCTGTCTCTCGCTGCTCCGCTATCTGGGAAAGCTCACGTACATCACGAGAGGAAAATCCAAGAGTGCTTTCCCTGGGCGGGTTCTTCCGACACTGAAAAAGCGCGCCCGGGCATTGCTGTCTGCTCAGGCTTCTCGTCTTCTCACTTCGAAGGCATCCTGGCCAGCCCCAGCGTGGTCACGTGTGCTGCCGTAGGGTGGCGAGCAGAGACGCCACGAGTCGCAACACACCCACCCACCCCGCGTTGGGATCAATTACTCCAGAGGGACTGTCACCTTCCAAATGGCACACGGTAGTGCACGCATCGAAGCCACGGCTGGGTTAACGGTGGTTTATTAACTGATCGGCAATGGGTTGGGTAAACAACGTACTCAATCATAACCCAGGCTGGGAAGGGGGGGGGTGTCCGCGCAACAACCCAGACAGAAAGCAGACCAACCACCGTATGTCCTAACGCGATGCGTGAATCGAATCGTAAACCTGAATGGTGGAGAACGCGTTCCGCCCAATTATGTCAGGTTTAAAGGGTACTGGAAAATAATACCAGTATTATTATTAAGTCATTGGAAAATAAGTCATTGGCGTCAGGACATTCTGGGTATGTATATGTAGCCAATATATATAGTATTGGCCAACATTGCAGAACAGGCTCCTCGACTGCATTCAGTGCGCTTAAATCTTCAGCAATCTAAGAGTGTAATCTAGCGGCAACGACGGTTCATAGGTTTACTCGGTTCTATTATCTTGTATCAGCTGATTTGAATTAGCACTCATTGCCTGGTGTACAAATAATCTTGCCTGCTGGTCGCTGACAAATGTGGCAATTCAGAAAGCTTATAAAGACAATGAGGTGTGATACGCTAATTTGTTATCAGACAAATTAATAATGCTTTTTATCATGTTGAATTAAAAACAAATTCCAGATATACAGTAAAAAAAGGTCAAATTTATTTATTAAGTATCAACTCAAGCTTGATGCCTGGCCACATCATGGACATGTCCATATCATATTGTTTTCTTGGCAACAGTATCAAAATGGTTTGCCATTGCTGTCTTCCAGAACGGTTTTTGACTTCCCAATTTAATCTATAGCCCCGGATTTCCCAGTGGTCTCCCATCAAAGTGCTAATCAGGTCTGACTCTGCTTAGTTTTTTCAAAATCGGTTAGGTTGCTGCTACCTGGTATAACTATCAACCTGATAGGGATTGGTTTTTCATATCCCACATCCAGCTGGAGGGTGAAATATGGCATTAAAGAAGAACTTCACCAGTTTAGCTTTTGGTAAATGGGTGTTTTATGACTGACCATGTCCATCATAGTAGATGCTCTGAACTGAGATGCAGTTGCTCATATTGTTATTTGATAAGCAAATTGTATAAAGATTTTTTTTTTAAATCTCCCACCAAAACTCCTGTGTTTCTTTGGGGGCAATCTTTTAGAGATGTGAATGCACAAGTGTGCCTGGAGAGGGGAAAAGAATACAACTTATTGATGTTTTGAGGCATGGACCAAGATACTCTGAGATCAAGCATAATAAATGATGGGTGTATGGTTTCCCTACTGTGTGAGAGAACACACCGTTGTCACAAGGGTTGACAACATGGCATCTGTAACATATGTAAGTGGTTTCTGTATCCTCCCAATATTAAATTTAAAATATATAAATGGCAGAAATGTCATGAGAACTCCACTGGTGAAATCTCATAGGAATTCTTGTGTAAGAGCACAGAGAGTAAATTGTCAGAACTTATGAGATTTTGAGAACCTGATGGTTTTTTTTTAAAAAAGAAGAAGCTGGGTCATTCTATGAAATCATGTAATAGAGCCAACCTTTGCTATAGTTCACATTGCTCAGAATCTGCAGGGTTTGCTATTGGTACATATAGAGGATTCTCAGTCTTTTTCTGGCCAGTAGGCACATTTGGACTTTTAAGGTTGTTGTAAATGCTCTCATAAAGTGATTGCTATAACAGGCATGTCTGTTTGCAAAACATCTACTATGATGGACATGGTCAGTCATAAAACACCCATTTACCAAAAGCTAAACTGGTGAAGTTCCTCTTCAACACCATATTTCACCCTCTGTATGTTCTCTTCCTCTGTAGTTTGTCTTTTTGCAGGGAGGGAGCAGAGGGGAACATTTCCAAACAAGGCACCAGCTCATGATAAGCTTCCCTTGTTTTGGTGTAACAGTGCATATGAGGCCTAGAAGCATTTCTAGATAACAAAGCTGATGCTGGAGGTAGGCACTATATTTTTTAAAAGTGTGCAAGGAGTCTGGTGGGCCCAAAGGCTGTATCCATGGGCACAGTGATGCACATGAGTACCACACTGGGAACCCCTACCACATTATATGATATAATAAGGAACATCATATAAAAGTAGATCTAAATAGGACTATGTATAGATCAACCCTATATATATTTATTCAGAAGCTCCACGGAATCCAGAAGTCCTTATTTCTGAGTTAAGTATGCATAGCACCTTTAATTGATTCTCTAGTCAGTTACGCTTGAATAAATCTGCATACCATCACATTCTCACTGCAGGTGCTTTTTAAAAAGATGTTATAGAAAGTATGAGATTTTGCAATTTAATAACAAAGATGCCACCCCTTGTGATAAAAAGGCAATCATTCTCTTTTCTATTTCATACTAGAACCAACTTAGCCTTCAGAACGCACAAGTAAATCTCAGGCTGATTTTGGGAAATTTCTCTATGATAATTGATGAACTAAAACAGCTTTCTCCAACCCAATGGCTGAGGATAATGGGAGTTATAGTCCAACACATCTGGAGGGTAGCAGACTGGGAAGAGTGGAGCTTTAGTTGGCTGATCATCTGAATTTGCAGAATTCCTGAGTTGTATTTCTCTTTTATGACCCTGGGTGTTAAGGAGGAAGAAGATAATATCTGCATATTGCAGGAAAAAAATTGAACTGGCAGTGTTGTTTATAAATACAGTTGTGGCTGCATTAACTCCTTAATAGGTACTGTGGGGGAAATGGGTGATTTTCTAACAATATTTTTTTGCTAGAATTTTGCTAACTGTAATACACTTCTCTTAATGGGGTTTTGCTGGAAGTCCTTATCTGTTTGTCTTTGTGACATTATTTCTATACTTTCTACTTTTATTTCTGGGGATCTTTACAAATCTGAAAACTGTTGGGGAGGGGTCAGTGGAGCAAGGTTTGATCACCTTCATTTTTCTACCAGGACATCCATCAAAGCATATTAAATAATTTTTTAAAAAGTTGAACTTCTGTGTATGCCCTTACTTCTGAGTAAGCATGACCTCTGTATCTTTCTATATGAGAAAGGCCATTAGGGACTAGATTAGATGATACGTAGGTTGGGTGGTTGTTGTTTTTTTCCCTTTTCCCATCTTGAATCCTAGTTTCTGTCTTATGGGTAGTTAAGACTGAGCTGAGTTTGCTGACAGATGGAAAAGAAGGTATTCACTAATATCAATAGAAGAAAAATGTGAAAGACAAGATAGCAATCCAAAGTGAAGATATGAAAGCAGGGAATGGGAGAAGTGAGCAAAATGCACCGAAGCTGAAAGCAAGGAGAGCTGCTTCTGCCAAAACTATACAGGGATGTAAGTTTGCCTTGAGAGGGAGGGGAGGTGTCACCCAGGCTATTGTGGAAGTCAGGTAACAGGCACTTCAAGGGAACTGGGAATGGAGAAAGAAGGGGGAGAGAGCCAGGAGGAAGATGGAAGAAATGGGGGTGGGGAGTAGACTGCTTGCCGTGAAGAGAAACTCTTGGAGCCTTGGAGGGAAAGTAGCATTAGGAAAGTCTGCTTTAGCACGTGCAGGGCAGTAGGGAGGGATGAGCCGTTTTCTGCAGAGTGAGTACTATATTGGCAGACCAACTGCTCTTTACAGCCAGAGCTCCTTGCTGCCTTCACAGAGAAAGGATGAATATGTAGACTCCTTTTCAGCTCATGGATTATGAAATTATTTGGAATTTCAAATGGGTGCACAAGAAATTGCTTCCTAATTGCTGAAGTGTGCGTGCTGGAAACAGATTTTGAAGTACTCATAATTTATGACACATCTGTGATAGCTGGTAGAAGTAGGCTGGTTATATCAAAGCTTGGAACT